CTTTTGGTCCCTTAACAAGTGGGAGGCACATATGCAAACTGTTGTAATTCCTACACCGTTCACCTGATTTGGATGTGGTGGTGTATAGAGCCACCATTGTGGTGGTGTATAGAGCCAAAAATGTTAGAAATGTGTCGATGTCCCAATATTTATGGACCTGACTGTATACTGGAATTTGTATTTTTTTTATACTAGTAATGGCGGTGATCAGCTACTTGTAGCGGGCATTCTGACACTGGGTGGGAACTGACTAACTGCTACTGACATCCCCAGTGACACTAATTCAGTGATCGGTGCTAATAAAAAGCACTGACACTGTACTAATGACACTGGACAGGAAGGGGTTAACATCTGGGGTGATCAAAGGGTTAATTGTGTGCTGTGTGTGTTTTACATTGTGTGCTGTTTTACTTGGGAGACATGCTGCTTTGTATCTCTCTGCTGTGCAGAGAGATGCACAGCAGCATGTCCATGCTGATAGGAGACTGATCTGTGTTGTTTACACATAGATCTCTCCCCTCTCAGCCCTGCCGACGATCAGAGCGATTGACATCCCCAGCAGCAAATAGCAGCGCGGGCAGGGAAGCGCATGCTCGCACACCCCCTTTCTGGAAATGCAATTCATGTGTATATATATACGTGATTTTGCGCAGTCGTGCACTCTGTAGTAGTACTTCTGCTATAGAGCGGAGGGCAACTGGTTAAATATTGGCGGATAGCTAAATTAGAACTACATTTAAAAATCAACAGATTTCAGGAAAGAGGTGGTTTAAATGAGCTGAAGTTCTTTGTTATGTTTTTTTTGGATACAGCACCAAACATATTATTTATATGTGTAATGGTGTGTACTCTATTACCTGCAGGTGACTGCTTCTAGTAAATCTTTCCTGCACTGGCCCCTTCATATCAGTCATGGATGCCCTGAGCAGCTGTCTTCTGGTGCTGGGAGAGTTAAGAGCAGCCACTGCTACGGAGAGTTATCACTCATATTAGATTATACACTTTTACAAGAAGGGCCCTTCTAATCCTCTTGACTTGAATTGTACTTTGTAAAGTGCTACACAAATTGTTGTTACTGTATAAATCTTGTATAATAACTTTTCTTAGTAGCAGTGGCTGCTGTTACCTTGAAAACCCTGGAAGTTAGCTGCTCAGGGCAATACCTGGAGGCTATGAAAGAGGCACTGCAGGAAGTATTTGTACAAAAAGTAGCTCACAGTTGTCAGCTAATGTGTTTGTGTTGTAAATAAATGGAGATGACTAATAATTGACATAATTATTAGTGTTACTATGGAAACAATACTACGTCAATGCAACACAAAACTCTTCCAATCCAACTGAATTTTTCCTGCAGCAACTTGGTTCATCCAGAGAGAAACATTTCTTGAATCTCAGAACAAATGATAAAAATCCAACGGAATATCTGTAAAATGAATACAGTGATCAGAGTCTCATTCAGAGTTCTAAGTCCTCTTCTGTCTTAGCAAGCATAGAGGCACTCCACCCATCCAGTATTATATAGTATGTGTGTGTGTGTGTGTGTGTACACACTATATTGCCAAAAGTATTGGGACAACACCCTTCCAAATCAATTCAGGTGTTCCAATCACCTCCATGGCCACAGATGTATAAAATAAAATCCATCTTTGAAATTTCCTTGCTACTAAATATTCCAAGGTCCACTGTTAGTGGTATTATAACATAGTGGAAGCAACTGGGAACAACAGCAGCTCAGCTACAAAGTAGTAGGCCACGTAAAATGACAGATCGGGGTCAGCGCATGCTGAAGCACACAGTGTGCACAAGTCGCCAACTGTCTGCAGAGTCAATAGCTAAAGACCTCCAAACATTGTGTGGCCTTCAGATTAGTACAGCAACAGTGTGTAGAGAGCTTCATGCAATGGGTTTCTATAGCCGAGCAGCTGCATCCACGCCTTACATCAAGTGCAATGCAAAGCGTAGGATGCAGTGGTGTAAAGCACGCCGCAACTGGACTCTAGAGCAACAGACATGTTCTCTGGCGTGATGGACATGTCTGGGTTTGGCGGTTGCCAGGAAAACGGCACTTGCCTGACTGCTTTGTGCCAAGTGTAAAGTTTGGTGGAGGGGGGATTATGGTGTGGGGTTGTTTTTCAGGGGTTGGACGTGGCCCCTTAGTTCCAATGAAGGAAACTATTAAGACGTCAGCATAGCAAGACATTTTGGACAATTTCATGCTCTCAACTTTGTTGGAACAGGAAGAGTCCATCTCCAAACTACACACACACACACTACATAATTTGGAGCTGTAACCCTCTCCCCACCCTCCAAAAAAAAAGAAACCACTAAACTTGAGCTTTGAACCTATCATTAGAAAGAAATGAAAGTTTTCATTGTTGAACTCTACTTAAAAGACTTTTGCCTGGCTGACATGTTGATAACTGTACCTTCAGTACTTACTGATTCCTGACCTAGTATTCATATTAGGACTGTTTACTTTTCTGAAACTTTTCTTTTCTATATATTCCCTTGGGGTCAATGTTTCTCAGATCAAACCACCCTTGCAGCACCATGTTGGTTGGTTCTTTTTGCTTTCCCTTTGGATGATCTCCGCTGCAAAGTAGGCTTTTTGGTGACTATCACATCTTTTAGGCATGTAAAAAACCATTCCTCATTCTTCACAAGAACCTTCCTCTTTTACTAAAGTGGTTTCAGTTCTTCACTCTAATGAAGACATATAGTACTCCTACCATCTTCCTCTGTTTGTCCCGCTTCCAAGCACTCAAAGGAATTTTCTCTTCACTGCCTGGACATGGTTAGAGCCATCAGTCTGCCTCAAAACTATGGCTTCTATCAGGCAGTTAGACTCCCTATTCATTCTATCCTCAGGACCTCACAAAGGACATCCTACTTCAAAATCCACCATCACTGGATTGGATACGGCAACTCATGACTGTACACTCTAAAAGACCAGACTCCTCTTACACAGATGTATAAAATAAAGACCAGACTCCTCTTATGTGCTCACTCTGTTGCCGAGCTTATTCAGGCTGCTACCTGGTCTTCTGTTCATTCTTTTCAAAGTTCTACTAGGTTGATGTCCAATCTTCGTCCTTGGCTTCAAGGGTCAGATGAGTATGAGCTTTGCGCTTACCTCTAGAAAAAAATAGCAACTGATCCATGCAGTGCAGGCACAGCCCCGCTGCTTTAAATGCAATCTTCAGTTAATTAGTCCACATGACTTTGAATCCCATACATGTGAAATTAGAAATATGAAATAAGGTTTTGTGTTCTTAATGTGTCAATAAACATCCACAATCTTAAATCTTCCATGTAGTTATTCATTCATTACCACTGTGCATCTACACCGATTATTATATTTTCTGCTTGTGCCAATCTAAATCACCAGTGAATACATTAATCCTCCATTCACCAAGCCCCTTACCTCTGTAGTTGACCCACTAAAATAGTAAGGACATGGCACTATGCAGATGTGGTGATTGGATAACAAAACGTGTCAGGGGCATGGTCACGTGATGTCATGATGTAAGGTGGAACCCAAAGTGAGATCCATGTACATGTAACCATTGCAGATGTTTTACTTTAAGGGGGCAATACATATATTAAAGAGGCAATAATCCTTTGTGCACATGTGATTGGTGCACTGTACTTTTAAGTGTGATTCTCTACCATTTCTTCTAATAAGTATGAAGAGTGATATTTAATATATTACACTATGATAGTGATTTTGTTTCTTTGAGTGGAGATTGCTGAAGGTTGCTTGGTGGCTTGTACCCTGCTGAACATTGGTATACATTATGTCCTGTACTGTAAAAATAATGACATGCTTGTAAATTCCATATCTTGGAGCACTGTAAAGGACAGAGGCCACCCTTCCCTTCTAATCCAGTGTTATTGTGCATACCTTGCTACAAACCGTACTCACGGAGTAGAGTAGGGTTCTAGGGTGACACCCAGGGGCTTGTCCTTCAAAGCTTTCCCAGTGCCAGTCACCTGAAGGTACCAGACTATAATCCAGGGTCTGTGAATATCAAGCCTGTATCATGTACTGTACTTTCAAAATACGTTTTGGAATTTACAGGTAAGTAAAATCTCTTATTTCTTCGTTTTGAATAGCGTGGAGATGTTTTTATTGCTGTCTGTGTCCCCATTAAGGAGATCCATCTTCTCTATAATTCCCGTTTATCATTGTCAGTGAAAAAAAATACCAAATTTTGGGTTGTCAACAGAACAGGAATTGAGGGGAAATCTTCAAATGGGCACACTAGTTCTGGTGACAACCAAGCGTTCTCTTATTTTACACAGCTTTCCTCTCACCTGCTGCTTTGCCTATGGGACAGAAAGTGAAGGGAAATCTCCCTAACCTGACGCATATGGCAAAAAAAAAAAAGAAAACTTGACAGGAGTTTTACTCTCCTTTTACTCTATTTACTTTATTCGAAATGAAAACAAAAGTTTTGCTTTAATTCTAATTTAAAGCTCAATAGGCCTTTGTTATTTATTACTGGAATGCAGCCAGGCTGCAAATACAGTCTTGAATAAGGGGTTCTTTCACTTTTTTTTGCTGTAGCAAGAGTCACAATACCCTGGGCTGGTATTATCTCAACTTTCCAGTGGTCAGACATTCCACACTCCCTGATTGTAGCAGTGTTTGGTGGGGAGGGGAGTTGTTAGACCAAAGAATAGCCACATATTTATTATTATTGTATATGCAGTCTGGCTTCATTGCAGGAAATTAAAAACAAGGGTTCAATCTGGCTTGAAGCTATAGCAGGAAATGCAGCATCCAAGTTTATCTGTAAACTGGATTATTTTATTCTGTTTATATTGTTCAGCAGATTGCAGTTTAACTATTCGCAAGTTAAGACACCAGTACAAAACAGAAATCTTAATTACCTAACCACTCTACTGGACAGCTTTATTCTCATTCCATTCCTATTATGTAACATTTTCTTTAAATAGTTAAATATAAATAAATTCATTTTATTTTTTTGTTCTAGATCCAGTTTAGATGACTACTGCCCTTCCGATCAAGTTGATTTCATTCAGGAAAAAGTTCTGGATGTCCTTCGCTCGTTGTATGGCACGCTGGATGTTCATTTAGAGTTTTCCCCTGGATCATCTTCTGTTTGAAGTCACGTTGTGTCATTTAAGGATATCATTTTAATTTAAATAGTGATTTGAATTTTCTTGCAGCACATTATATGTGAACCCTTAACAATGGATTTCTCTTATTTGTTTCCTGTTGGTCTGCTAAATATATCATTGAGAGTGTTTTGTCATATCTATTCGATAAGTTGAAAAAAATAGCTGTTGATTTTGCCAGAAATCTTGTGAGCTGATAACTTCCCGTGCTCTCTGGCTGCACACAAGGTCAGGTTATGGAGATGAGGAGAGATCTTAAATCTTTGTAATGCATCAAAAATAAAGTTGGCAGGACTGATAACACATGCTAAAAAATTCAGAGCCAAAAAATACTGTGTTGTCATGTCAGAGGGAGGTAGGACCACACTATATTTCTTGCACACCAGCAGTTATTTTTCTGAAATTGCAGAATGTAAAATAGGGTAAACCATAAAGAAATATACATGTGTTCCAGAGATGTGTTTTTTTTTGTTTTTTGTTTTTTTTGTTTTGTTTTGTTTTTTAATTTCCTTGACATACGCTGTAAACCAAAGCATGGTATTTAGCAGTTAAGGGTTTAAGTTAAGTCCATGCAGTGTCTTCTAGCTTTTTAAATACACAAATGACACATTTCTTTGTGCTTCAAGGTGCAGTTACACTTTAATGTTGTGCTCCCACATAGATACCGATTACCAGAATGAATGAGGGCAAAGAAAAGCTCATATAAAGGATTACAGTATCTAAACATAAAATGTCTTCTTTTGGGTGATTGCGAATACGTTTGTTACCTTGCTGGATTGAGGCATAGGGTTGTGTTGCTGGAAGTACTAGCAATAATATTGTTCAAATGTTTAACTGACATCATGTCTGTAGAAAACACATTTTGGCATGCACTGAATGTTCCTTTTTTTATATCCAGGTGTTGTTATATGTCATGTTTTCTAGTAAGTAAAATAGTGTTTATGTGTTTTAGTATATATTAATAATGTATTTTACAGCATGCTGGATTTTAATATTCAGTAAGCCTGTTGAGCAATATATTTGTTATATGTCTAGTTTACAAATGTATTAATATTTGTGTTTGCGCTGTCACTGTATTCAAGCCTTAACTCCATGAAAGTCTAATGGTGATCAAAAATAAAACATGACTTTTTTTTGTTACTATACAAAATTTCATAAAAGAGTACCATTTAATCGCAAAAAACTCCATTTTCACTATTGCCACGAAAAACATTTTTGTACATTTTTAGATTTTATTTTGAAAAATGAATTTGTGCAAGTCTCCTGCTATAGCAATATGTTAATTATATCTGCAGTTATCGCTCAAATTGTCCTCTCTGCTCCACTCAGGACATCTTGCGCTCTAGCTCCCTTGTTACCTCCTCCCATGCTCAACTCCAGGACTTTTCCAGAAACTCTCCCATCCTCTGGAATTCCCTGCCCCAGTATGTCTGGTCTGCGCATACTCTATTTGCCTTTAGGTGATCCTTGAAAACTCATATATTCAGGCAAGCCTATCGCACCTCCACCTCCAACTAAAAATCTGTACTTGAATGACCTCTATCAGATCATCCCCCACAGCTATTACCTTTTATAATCTCCCCCCTCCTTTTAGATTGTAAGCTTCATGAGCAGGGCCCTCCTATTCCATCTGTATTGAACTGTGTTGTAAATGTACTGTCCTCCTTTATACTGTAAAGCATTGCGCAACCAGTTGGCACTGTATAAATCCTGTATTATAATAATAGTCAGGTATTAAGGAATGCATTGGAAGGAAACTGTTTAAAATACTTCCTACCCTCTTCCTGCTCTAGCAAATGTCCATGTGGCTGTTATGTTTCATTTGATCAAAGCACATGAAACATAGGAACTTTTCATGCCCTTTATTGTGAAGTGCCAGTAAAATAAATGGAGGTCCATTTTAAACCATGTTATAGCCTGTAAAGTGAAATAAGTGCAGTGCTGCACTTATTTCACTTTATATGTTGTTTTGAAGGTTTATGGTTTCCTTTATTGTGCATGGCTACTTATTTATATATTCAGCGCTCGCTGAGTTTTTATCTTTTAATGTTATAGCCTGTAGCAAGGGAAGATGCATGCAATCAACAGCTGCTTTATGCTTAACCTCCTGCTGCTGGGCCCTTTATCAGGTTCTAAATGCCAGGAGGTGAAGACAGGCATTCCAATCATGTGACTGCTGTGATTGGCAGTCACAGCGGTCAAACGATTGCAAAGCTCCCGATTGCAAGTATGCATCTGGAGCTTTCCGGTACCTGCCCATTACTGTGCTGAGAGCATGCTCTCCCGACCGCCCTATTGCAGAACTATTGCTACAGGACTGCGTATAATCACGTGTGTGTGTGTATATACAGTCAGGTCCATAAATATTGGGACATCGAGACAATTCTAACATTTTTGGCTCTATACACCACCACAATGGATTTGAAATGAAACGAACAAGATGTGCTTTAACTGCAGACTGTCAGCTTTAATTTGAGGGTATTTACATCCAAATCGGGTGAACGGTATAGGAATTACAACAGTTTGCATATGTGCCTCCCACTTGTTAAGGGACCAAAAGTAATGGGACAGAATAATAATCATAAATCAAACTTTCACTTCTTAAAACTTGGTTGCAAATCCTTTGCAGTCAATTACAGCCTGAAGTCTGGAACGCATAGACATCACCAGACGTTAGGTTTCATCCCTGGTGATGCTCTGCCAGGCCTCTACTGCAACTGTCTTCAGTTCCTGCTTGTTCTTGGGGCATTTTCCCTTCAGTTTTGTCTTCAGCAAGTGAAATGCATGCTCAATCGGATTCAGGTCAGGTGATTGACTTGGCCATTGCATAACATTCCACTTCTTTACCTTAAAAAACTCTTTGGTTGCTTTTGCAGTATGCTTGGGTCATTGTCCATCTGCACTGTGAAGCAGCGTCCAATGAGTTCTGAAGCATTTGGCTGAATATGAGCAGATAATATTGCCCGAAACACTTCAGAATGCATCCTGCTGCTTTTGTCAGCAGTCACATCATCAATAAATACAAGAGAACCCGTTCCATTGGCAGCCATACATGCCCACGCCATGACACTACCACCACCATGCTTCATTGATGAGGTGGTATGCTTAGGATCATGAGCAGTTCCTTTCCTTCTCCATACTCTTCTCTTCCCATCACTCTGGTACAAGTTGATCTCGGTCTCATCTGTCCATAGGATGTTGTTCCAGAACTGTGAAGGCTTTTTTAGATGTCGTTTGGCAAACTAATCTGGCCTTCCTGTTTTTTCACCATGGTTTACATCTTGTGGTGAACCCACTGTATTCACTCTGGTGAAGTCTTCTCTTGATTGTTGACTTTGACACACATACACCTACCTCCTGGAGAGTGTTCTTGATCTGGCCAACTGTTGTGAAGGGTGTTTTCTTCACCAGGGAAAGAATTCTTTGGTCATCCACCACAGTTGTTTTCCATGGTCTTCCGGGTCTTTTGGTGTTGCTGAGCTCACCAGTGCGTTCCTTCTTTTTAAGAATGTTCCAAACAGTTGTTTTGGCCACGCCTAATGTTTTTGCTATCTCTCTGATGGGTTTGTTTTGTTTTTTCAGCCTAATGATGGCTTGCTTCACTGATAGTGACAGCTCTCTGGATCTCATCTTGAGAGTTGACAGCAACAGATTCCAAATGCAAACAGCACACTTGAAATGAACTCTGGATTTTTTATCGGGTCATTGTAATTGGGATAATGAGGGAATAACACACACCTGGCCATGGAACCGCTGAGAAGTCAATTGTCCCATTACTTTTGGTCCCTTAACAAGTGGGAGGCACATATGCAAACTGTTGTAATTCCTACACCGTTCACCTGATTTGGATGTAAATACCCTCAAATTAAAGCTGACAGTCTGCAGTTAAAGCACATCTTGTTCGTTTCATTTCAAAACCATTGTGGTGGTGTATAGAGCCAAAAATGTTAGAATTGTGTCGATGTCCCAATATTTATGGACCTGACTGTGTGTATATATATATATATATATATACACAGTTGCAAGAAAAAGTATGTGAACCCCTTGGGATTACGTGCAGTTTTGCATGAATTGGGCATAAAATGTGCTCTGAACGTCATCTAAGTCACAACAATAGAAGAACACAGTCTGCTGAACATATTACTACACAAACATTAGATGTTGCCATGGTTTAATTGCACATAACATGTAAACATTCACAGTGCAGGGAGGAAAAAATAACTGTATGTGAACCTTTGGACTTAATAACTGGTTGACCCTTCTTTGGCAGCAATAACCTCAACCTGTAGTTTCCTGTAGTTGCAGATCAGACCTGCACAACGATCTGGAGTAATTTTGAACCACTTCTCTTCACAAAACTGTTTCAGTGTAGCAATATTCTTGGGATGTCTGGTGTGAATCGCTCTCTTAAGGTCATGCCACAGCATTTCAATCGGGTTGAGGTCAGGACTCTGACTGGGCCACTCCAGAAGGTGTATTCTGTGCTGTTGCAGCCATTGTTTTGTTGAATTACTTGTATGCTTTGGGTCATTGTCCTGTTGCGTCACCCATCCTCTGTGGAGCATAGCAGAGGAATACAAAGCAGTATGTTTCCCTAGTAAAACGCACACATAGTAAAACAACACACAAAGACAAGTAGCAGAATACATTTTGACCTAAATTTATAATGAAGTTTGATTTTTAAAACATTTTTTATGGGATGTGTTTTATGGCAAAAGTAAAAAATATTGTTTTTTTTTTAAAAATTGTCAGTCTTTTTTTGTTTATAGTGCAAAAATTGAAAAAATACTCAGAGGCGATCAAATACCACCAAAAGAAAGCTCTATTTGTGGGGGAAAAAGGACATAAATTTCATTTGGGTGCAGTGTTTTTTTGCATGACCACGCAATTGGCAGTTAAAGTAAAAGTAACTCAGTGCCGTATCGCAAAAAATGGCCTGGTCAGGAAGGGGGGTAAATCTTCTGGAGGGCAAGTGGTTAAATAATAAG